AAAACAAACAAACAAACAAATATAGCTATACCCTTTCCCCCATCGACAAGATAAGCTTAATTCGTTAGTCGCTTGTTTGAACAAGAAATGATAAAACTTGAAGTCGATCGGCCAATTCCTAACTTTTACCTTTTGTGATAATTTCATTTGCAAACTCTTTTAGAAACCATGATAAAGTTTTGTATTATTATTTTAGATTAATTTGTACATTTTTCCCGCCCCCTCAGCGGAAAGTCTGAAGGTTTATAACCTTAAAAATCAGATTTCTATACTCAGATGGGTACAGCACAGATAGCCCATTGAATGGCTTTGTACTTAACAACAAACAAACAAGCTTATAATATAAAGAAACTAGGTTAATGAACTTAATAGTTACTATAATTACAAATATTTCTGGTGCATCAACAGAAAGTGATAACGTAAATTCTCTCGATGAAAGAGTATTAATTTTTAAACATGCTACAATAGAGAACCTTTATATTCTAATCCAATCATGACATTCGTGGATTATACCGAATAAAATATATTTACTTTACTGTCAGCTTCTGTCTGATAGTTCGAGACAACATGCGTTTTCATTTTAGTTTGCTGTTGTTAGAACCCCACAATGAATAAATGGAACACTGTGCAGGAGTTACTTCTGATTGAAATAGATGAGACAGTTCCAATAACCCCTCTACTGAGAAACAGACGACAAAAAAGAGCTGAATTTTTCATCCGAATGACTTATACTAGCTATACCATAAAACACTAAGCGATTAGCTGTAGTTTCAGTTGACTGCCTGCCTTTCTCTAATTTAACAGTTAAAATCGGGAAAGACAATTTACAGATAGCCCTTATTTAGCGTTGCACAAAGATTGTAAAAAAATGAACAAATAACAGTGTTTTATTTGCTATTTCCGAAGATGAGTCAAAAATTCGTTCAATTTTTTTTCTGGTTTGCCTATATTATATAGCAATATTATCCTCGCACACTCATTGGTCTAAAAGAGAAAAATATAGATAGCCTGAGAGCCAACTGGAGAATTTAATAGCAACAAGTCATCAAAAGAACCTCGTAAAGAAACATGCGTAAAGGAATGGATACGATTATTTTTTCTGATGACTTTAGACAGAAGCAGATGTACATAAAAAACGCCATAGTTCAAATTCTGTTAAACTGAATTATCAAATGAAGTAAATTCGTCTAGCATAACTGTAACTTATTAAAACGTACGTACTTATATTGTCTCTCAATTATTTACATTACTTAATCACCTAACATGAAATTTTAATGCTCACGAGACTTCCAGCATGTGTCCTTGACCATTTTACTTTATTCCCTGCTTTTGAAATATCCTTTTGTCTTAATTAACAGTGAACTTTACAAGTGCAATGTGCTCGGCTCACTTCGCATTACTTCGAGTGATCGGTAGGCCGTTTGAATAAACAAGTAAGATCGAGCTGCTTTTCAAGCCAACTTCCTACAGTGTTCACTATTATGAATCTAGTATGCTGGCATTATTTAACATTGATGTTGATATTAAAAGTTTTCCTAGGCTGAAATCCAAGTATTGATCTAATAACTACTTATACATCTTTTGTTACTATTTTTTTCCGAGCTTCAACAAAACATGGAAATCACTGTATGAGTTTTGATTGGTTATTTCTTACAGCATTCAAATAACAATGATGCTTCAGCAACGTGTAGCTCCATTAGACACAAATAACAAGCCTCTATTCTCCTTTGCAAGGACAGAAGTGTTTGTTAACATTCCTTACGGCAGTATTTGAATGTAACACAAAAATGTTTTAACTTTGTTCATTACATTAGTAACTGCATCTTTATATGGCAATCTTACGTCACAATAAAATACTTTGGTTTTTCAGGTCTTTCTTTGTGGTATATAAATTATGAACATTTTATGTCTATGTTACTACAAAGAGCAAAGTAAGGTTTTAGTTTTACTAATTCATTCAGTACACACACATTACATGTGCATACATGTTGTGTACATATCAATAATCGTTAATCGTTGGGATGATTGTACAATATTATCTCATTTGTCAGCCGTCACATTAAGATTCTTATATTAAGCTATAAAGCACTAGTTTGTATACTACCTTCGGTTGTAGATTGTTACGTGTGTACATCTTTAACTGCATCTGACTCGCACATCAACACTTAAAGGGTCACTGGCATCTGTATACAATAATTCTCAAGCATTGCAAAACAAACTTAAATAAGCCTGGTTTTTAAGTCAGTAAATTAGTTTTTCCTTCGTTTACGGTAAAATGTGTTTAATTAGTATGATTTCTGGCATATTGTGAGATAGATATACATATATGATTCTATATATAAAATGTCTGACATCTATTCATGCATACATGAGTCCTTTGATTACTATCCTAATACAGTTTAGCTTGTTTCTTGCCCTGAAAAACTACTGTTATTAATTCATAGTTTGACAGGTATCTGGTGCAATCGTTCTCCACTGTTTCTTCAAAAATACAACCAGGTAATGATGTCTTACATTCCGAATTAACCAGCAGGTTCTAAAAATGTTTTTAAATAATTAAGATTTAGACTTCTAAGGCAACAATGTTGTTATTATAAAAACAGTCATCGATAGTATGCTCAGTGTGGCAGGGAATAGTATCAGAAATCATCCGCCAGGGCCACTGAACTATGTACATATAATAAACGGTGAAGTCCCCACAGGTGGTTAGTAGAAACGTCTCACGCCCAGTTCACAGAATGCAGATGCAGCCCACACAATAAAAACCCCACCACAATCTCGTCCACAGTTGACAAACGTAATCACTGTTGAATTTAATATGTATTTGGATCCAGGCCCACATACGATCCACGTTTTTAAACCACATGAGATGACTCTTACGGCATAAGGGTGCCAAGCCTTCTTGGGAAGAGTGAGCGATACTTTGCGTCTCTGACTTTCCAAAACACCCACATTCATGAATATCATCTTGCAAATGCATCACCGTGAGATCAAGATAAATTGTATGAGAACTAACAAGTCCTCAGAATGCAAACTTAAAATTCATTTACTATAAATGTTTTATTTTTATTTTTTGCAAATTATGATAAAATAAACACGTGATTAAATGTCTCCTTTACTCACAAAATTACCAAAATACCGGAAAACTGATTCACCACGTGCTGGCTATCAAACTGTATAAACAAAATAAGGCATTCTTTTGTTATCTGAGAACCGCTAAGGTTATGTTGTTTAATTAGTAACAATTTTTAAAACTCGCAAATTTGAAAGTTAAGAAAAGCAATATTAATAAATTTGATTACTTGCTGGTTAGGCAGGACAACAGAAAAATTACTAAGACTCTCAAATTGCTCATCTCGACAACAGTTGTAATGACACCAGGACAGAGAAATGGAAACCAAGAGAATCCCGGTAAACCCTATTAGTAATAATAATAATAATAATAATAAAACATCAGCATGTAAAATAGGGTTCTTTAAAAAAGACTTGACTTTGAGCTTCGCGAGTGTATAACGAAGTACATGCTGGTGAAATGAAGATGAAACGGTACATAGGTGTAGAAACAAAAGTAGGTTTATTGCAAATGAATTTAATTAGCTGAGAGTTACGGATATTAAAATAACTAGTTATCAACCAAACAACTATTTTTTTTGCCCATTACTACAACAGATAATAGAATTAAAATTAATTAGCTCAGGGTTACGGGTATTGAAACTAAAACAATATAACTAGTTATCAACCAAACAACTATTTTTTTTTTTTTGCCCATTACTACAACAGATAATAGAATTAAAA